TACCATTAATATATGTTCGTTTTGGAATATACTCATGGAAATACTTTGTAAATAATGATTTTTCACAACCCGAGATGAAGGTCGGGTGAACCCTATGAACCCCATAATTTTCTATCCATGGTCGCAAAATTTAGCGAATTCCAATGTCAAAGCACACACTTATGATCCGTCGGGCATTACTGTAAGAACAAATATGTAACATAAATATTCATAGTACAGTGGATACCTAAAACTCATTACAGAATATTTTGTGCAAAACCTTCATTACTGTGACCTTTGACTATTGGTATGACAGAGCAATATTTATTTGTCAACTGTTTTTGTTCATTTATCAGGAAGGAAAGTAGATCCAGATGTTTTGCAATTTTATTTTTATATTTTATATGATAAATCTAAAATCTACTTTGGCAGTCTTTTAATATCATTTTGGTGATTTTGTGTTATATTTATCTATTTTTTTTAATGATTGACAGATTTTCGTATACTAAATTGATGGTCAACCACATAATTTAGAGTTTGTTGTAATTTGCTAATTTAATAGGCTTAATAGTTTTAGTGCCAACAGACGAATGCAGCAAAAAGTAGTTATCATAAAAGTTATACAATGTATGGTTAATGATTAGGACGGTGTATACATTACGTGTTGAAAAGCTGAATGTATATATGTATGTAATGAAGGTCGATTGTACCCTTAATTATAGCAATCTCCATAGTTGAATTGAAAGTTCTGATTCGATTACTGGTGTTTTTGGTGTTCAGAAAGTGTATCAGGGTTCAGCTAATAATCTCAAGTCAAAGGTTTGATCCATGGACGAGACTTTTGGATTAAAGAACTGGAGTCAGCAGTTCTTTATCATTGGCCATTTCAATAAATAGTATTTTTTTAATATAGTTATTGTCAGTTAAAAAAGCTACAAGGTATCTCACTCATCCAACAATCAATTCCCATTCACATTATAATACGCCTAACTGCGTCCTCATAAGCGCATCATCCCACCGCAGAAAACCTGCCGATAAGGGCAGGCATACAAATTCATCCCAAAAATAAACTATTATCTGAAAACACAAAAGAGCAAGAAATGTAAACTGAACAATTCAAAAGTTGAAGGTAAAAGTAACCAATTTTCATTATTTGTGCAAAAGAAAGGCATAAAAGTAAAAATGTATGGCAAAGTGAGTTCGAAAATTATTCCACTATGCAGTACTATGGGATAAGGTTGATTCAGTTGCCTTATACAGAAACAATGGGCAGAATCATTCACTCCCAAAACTGTTTACTGCCCGAAAACAAGCTGCACCTAGCAACCGAAAGGGCCAAAACCGTAACCGAAGGGTCGGGGGAGGACTTCTGTGTTCTTGTACTCCCGTCAGTTTGACAGAAGGTGTGGCAAACCCTTTCATTTTGGCGATACTTTTCAAACTTGCTCCCCGCCCCGCCATGTTGGATTCGTTTGGCAAACTGTTGTTATACAGGATGTATTTACATATGAACACTATGTGGGAACCTTGTTGACCGTGGGGAGGTGTTGAGCAATCGACTAAATGCTTAACAACGGGGAAAGTGAAGGGCTATTAAATGCAATACATTAATGTAATATTTATAGAGCCTAAATTGTATTGTAACTGCTACTTCTTTATGCTGTAACGTTAAATAAGTTGTTTTCTAGTCCATTTATTCTACTTTAATTGTTTTCTAAGAACATTTGTGTTTCTCTTATTTTTTATCTATGATTTAGGTAAATATTGAACGTGATAGTAAGTTTATAATTGGCAAGTTCTCGATATATTAAATCATTTACTTTTTGCTCGGTTGTTTGGTTATACTATTTTTACAAAATACTTAACAGTAAAAAGCTGCAATAATAGCACATAATAGCAAAAATATAACCATGGAACGGATGCATAACTACGTTAAGCAAATACATTTTATTATAAAGCCAACAACATTTAAAAATAACAACAATGTAATGACAATGCACATCTAAGTACTAAATTGTTATTTCGTAATGTATCGATTAATTGGTAAAACTCAATTCAGTTTAAATTTGCAAAAGACAGATAAGTTTAAATTTGCCATTTAATATTGACAAAACTTATCCGCAACAATCTTATTAGTTATCAGTAGCATTAATATCCTCTAAATCTCCTTTTGACTTTTGACGTGTTATCGAAATTTAACTGCGAATGTTTAAAGGAAAAACTAAAATTGCTGTAATAGTAATTCAAACTCTCTAATAAGCTAACTTGTGATCAATGTGTCAGTAGTGAGACTGTGTTTTGTTGTAATTAACTCTTTTCCAGCTATATACACAAGATAAGATGATAAGATTCTCTTGATTATTAGTTTCTCGGCCTCTGTTTTCTTATCTAGAGCGCGTCGTTTGTTAGGTTGGTATAAACAACGATAAAAACAACTCAGTTCTGTACATCGTTGGGTTGAACTAGGCTTTTAATTTTGATTTTTGATTTTATTCAATATCATTATACAACAACTACAGGTGTCTGGGCTAAAGAAAGTTCTAAAGAAATAAATGGATTTCTATAGTTTGTCTTTATCCATGTATAGTACGTAGATTTTCGCCTATTCATATGAGCTATTGAACAGATAAAGAACACGTTGTACCAGCACTATTGAACCATGTTTAAAACAGTTAATTGGATGTATATAATTGTTGATGAAAAACTCGCTCAGAACGTTAAAAACACAGACAAAGTAATTAAATGCACGGAATAAAACTAAATTGTTGTTCGCAAACCGAGCGTTTTTAATGAGGGATAGAGTTTGAAGTTAAATAAATAATGCTGGATAATTAATTCGCCCAAAAGGACGGAAGGCGAAGAAATTCGAATTTCGAAAGAGTTGTTTAACCCACAACAAATTCCCGGCAAGCTCGCAGGGGCCAATCAGAACGTCGAGTTTTGTATTGTTGGATATGACACTGTTTTTGTGGAGGGGTGACGTCATGGCCACGCCCACTTCTCCCCTCTCCTGGAGTTACTTCTCCCCATCTTCTCTTGTATCCTTCCGTCTCTCCTGTCTTCGAATAATGCCAGATTTCTGTTTTACCGAAGACTCAGCGACGCAGCTTTATGTTATTGTATTGATACACGACTCAAGCGAAATGATGACCAATCGAGTCTTACACGGCTTGAGTATGTTTCTTGTAGAGTGTCTTAGAAATTCTTGTTATATGTGATACGGTATAAATTATATTGCTACTGCAGTAAAACAGTAACAAATTTCAATATTAATTATAAAGATCCTATTGAACTTACAATTAATATGAAACCATCCGAATAGTTGTATGTTAAAGCAAGAAGCTTATCATATCCCATATTGTAAGTTCTAAATTAAACAATAGTGCGAGCCCATATTTGTAAGCCCGCGACATCTGCTGATCAACAAAATATTTTCGATTTGGAAAAACAATTTATTTTAATCTGTTTGCGTTTACTTGCCCCCCCCCCATCTCTCTGACAACTAGGGTATATTATGATAAATCATGGTTTGTAAAACACTTAATAAACAATAAACATAGGTAAAAATAGAATAAAATTCACGCATATTATAAACTGTAGGAATTATAAGCATAAACAAATTAAGTAACTTTCTCGAATGTAAATAGATAATTTTACTTGTTTACTTTTATTTGACTGTCAAATCAAAATATATTTCCATATAAATAATTAACTGCGGTGAGTATATTTGTTTATGTTTTCATCCCTACAGTTTTGATTGTAACATGCAAATATTAAATCGTCCATTTCCACGATTAATTTAAAATTAGTTTCAAATTATAAGCAGTATCACAAGGACCACTTATCAATTGATTCAAAATATAAAAATAGTAAACCCCGTCCTATACCCTGAATTAACAATGCCGCTCCTCAGAATATCATTTGCTCCTTTGTAAATAAACCTTCCGGCTCTAAATCCGTAAATATAAATAAAAACATCCTTTTCAGTGAATCACGTATTTTAATTCTTTTTGTGTCAGAATATTTTTGTTTTCTTAATTTCTTAACTATCTAATAAAAGTTATGAGAATGATTTGAAAGTGTTAAAGGACTTGTTTGATGTATTTCATGTACACTGTGCACTGTGCCGTATTTATTAAGGTTCTATTTTATAATGCAATAAATTCTTTTGTAAATAATATATGCCTGATGTACGTTGTTGTCTTACAGAAATATATGGTGGGTATCACCCATTGATAGGCCATGGTTATAGTTTTTTTGTTGAAAGCAGTTACTCAACATTCACTGTAGTTACACCAATTCCAATAATGCCGTCACTGTAATATTGTCAATTACCAATACAACACAAACCTGATATTGAACAGCGAAACATAAAAAATTATAAAATATTAGATATACAAAAAAAATATATTATTGTAGATTTCTAGCTAATATTATATTGTATGGACAAAGCGATTACCATAGTCTTGGGGAATAAATTTAAAATGGATCTGGGTGCAATCATTCATATTTATTTATTTATTTATTTATTTATTTACAGACGGAAAACTCCATTTTCATAACATACAATCATGTTAGCATATTAGCATATAAATACAGATTATTAGTACAGTAATGTGAAAAACAATCCAAGGCTCGTGCCTAGCGTCCTAGGACAAAAAAAAAATAGTACAGTATAACCAATGTTTTTTACTAAATTGGTTACCGAGATGATAGTTTTTTTTTATAAAATGAACCTTTATTTAACGAAAGGCACATAAAGCAAGATTTATTTGCGAGACATTCGTATATGTCTAAGGTACGATTCTTAACAGTTTTAAACTCTAATAACTTATAAAAATACAGAACATTCAAACTAAATGTTTTTGTTAAAACATATTAACTTCTTCATTTTCATGCTTGGTAACAGTCACAGTAGGCCTAATAGAATAATTTATTGCTAAACGATGTCTGGTAGTCATTATGTTATTGTGTAGCTCACGATTTACATGTTGTGGTTCTGTGTCCATTGTGCTGGTAGTGTTTAGTGTTTTAATGTGAACAGTGTGAGTATTTTGTTTTTTATATTATTGATTTAAAGTTCCATAGGTACATTAGATACAATGTAAAAGACACGCAAAGATAAAATAAACAAAGTCAATATAATGTGTAAAAAATTGAGTAAATATGGTTCATTTGTAATTGTTGATGCAAAATGTTTCATTTTGATGTTGTTTATCATTGGCTCTTCAAGTGGACATTTATAACACCAATTAAAAATCCGTAGAATATTAAAAAAAAAACATATGATAAATTTAAGAGTTATATTTGGATTTAGAATCTAAAATTGAAACCCACATAATGCAAATAGGATATATCACTACTCGACTCGCATGTAAAACACCATCTCTCCCCGAAATGGGACTTTCGTGACGAGTAATTGAACGATACTTTTTATCACGATGAAAAAACTACTTCATCAAACTTCAAATAGTGTAAAATTCAGCTGATTGTAACTTTGTTGATGTCAGGCACAGTATTGTTTGTGTAACGAAAGTAATCTTTATGTAGCGAAGTAATCTTTATGTAGCGAAAGTAATGTTTATGTCGAAGATCTCAGCTGTATGGAAATTTGAAATTTTCGAATACAGCGTGATGAAATTTTTTTTAACTGTTCGGACTTTTATTATTTTATGTAGTAGGCTTCTGTACTGTATTACTAATTAGTTTATTATACAAATAAAAGTAATTAAATGATGATTTGCTACCATATGTAGTTTTTGAAAATCAATGTGATTTTTAATATACCTATGGCCATTACATTATTTGATAAAAGAAAAACTTATAATTCAAACTATTTATCAGAACCTTTTATATCCTTCACAATAATATATGTAACTAAAATAAAGCGGTAACCAACAGTTTTTAAAGAGTTGTCACAAGTCTAAAGACGGTAGCTCAGAAACTTAATGTTTGTTTCAGATTGAAGAAAGTTGCCACCTCAGAAGCAGACTGTATCGGAGTAAGTTTACAGAGCAAAACAGAAGGAAATAACCAATCCTCAAGTCGTAGGATCAATAGTTGCGAAATTCTCCTCAAATTGCGGTCTCTGAATCACCGAAACGCACGAAGTATCCAAATGTTTATAATACATATCCAGTTTAGTGAGAGGGGGAAGTGAGGGGAGGTCGTTTTGGCTCCTCCCTCCGCGGTGGACCAATAGGAGCATTGCATCGGGCACCCCTCCTCCAGCCCTACTGTGTTCAAATATTTTCCATTACTGACGACAAATACCCCAGTGTTTGTAGACCCTACAGTCCAGTCTGGAAGTGTTGGCCGTGATGTGTTAGAGATGTGTAGCAACGAGACTTCTCCGCCTCCTGCTAGCCCCGTGCCTCTACTACCCTACGGTGTGACCAACATCAAGATCCTCCTGAACGACCCTACGTCAGCCACCCCAGTGACCATGCCTCAGCAGCCTCACACGCTGCTACCTCTAGACCAGTACCGTCTGCAACTCTACAACTACGCGGTCCAAGCGGAACGTCTCCGCACACAGCAGTACCTCCCCGGCATGCAGCTCCCAGTGTGTCCAGGGTACACGCCCTACCATCCGAGACTAGCGCTCTCCATGAGCCTCTTCAACCACCGCATCCTCCAGCCAGAGGAACCCAAGCCGCAGCACAGCTACATCGGGCTCATCGCCATGGCAATCCTCAGCTCTCCAGAAGCCAAGCTGGTGCTCTCCGACATCTACCAATACATCCTCGACAACTACCCGTACTTCCGCACTAGAGGACCAGGCTGGAGGAACTCCATCAGACACAATCTGTCACTGAACGACTGCTTCATCAAGGCCGGGAGAAGCGCCAACGGGAAAGGACACTACTGGGCGATCCACCCGGCGAACGTGGAGGACTTCAAGAAGGGAGACTTTAGAAGAAGAAAAGCCCAGAGGAAGGTTAGGAAACATATGGGTTTAGCTGTGGACGACGATGGAAACGACTCTCCTTCACCACCTCCTATGACGATGACTCCTCCGCCTACCAGTCTGTGGCCGCCAGTCACACCCTTGGTGTTCCCGACCTTGCCCACCAACCTGTCGAGGAAGAGACAGTTCGACGTCGCCTCCCTTCTAGCCCCCGATGACGACCTACAGCCAGCCATCCGCAAGAGGTTGACAATCACACCGTACAGCAGCGATGAGGAAGACATCGATGTCGTCTCCTCCGAGAACCCCAGAGAGAAGACTCCACCGACTTCTGCAACCTCTACACCCACGACCCCTGGTACCCCTCCGGCCCCCTGGGCCTACCGACACCCTGGACTGCCCGAGGTTGCCCGCTACTACGAGCAGCTCGCCGCCCAGCATCAAGCGAGGAGGATACAGGCTCTCCAAAGTCTTCAGCGAGGTAGGAGTCCTCCCCCGGACCACGACGACAGCGCTGCCTAGGTGTGACCTCATGCACATTGTATGTACAGCTTTAATGTTTCATATGTAATATAACCTATAATTTTAATAATAGCTGTGTGATATACCACAAGATATGAGGGCTAAACACAAAAGTATCACATTCTTTATAATATTTAAAACAAAAAGAGTTACCTATTAAGTGCTATAAATTACGATTATAATTTTCTATTAATGATTTCATTCCGTAGACTTTTCCTAAAATTTTATTGAGACGTAAATAAGTTTTGAATTTACATTATTTCATTTTTAAGCATGCGTTTTTTAAGATGATCCATGAACCTGTTTAGTTACTAAAAGATAATCGGAAATGTTAAATTTTAGCTTAAAAGTTAAAACAACCTACACCGCATTCAATCGGTGAAATAATCTTACTAAAATTAGGTAATAAAACTTTGTTAAATTATTATAATAATTTTCATTCGCAGACTTAAAACGAACGGTAGCATCACGACATTTTCGGTTTTCCTGTGAGAACCGGGACAAATTGGTATTTAACTTATAGCTCAACACAATACTAAGCAACATAATAATGATTTGTAGAACCCATGTCATCAAGCACGTTTTCGATTACTTGGCATTTTTCAATCGGTAGAATATTCTCATTCTCAAAATTAAAGTAGAAACGGGAAATTACCAAATTAAAGACCATACAGTCATACTAATGCTAAACAACTCTTCCATTATAAACACGAAGTAAATTAACACATGACATAATAATAGTACTACAGTTCGATGGACTTACTTATATTGTTTCCTATTCTTATAAAAAACCATATATGCAAGCGCATATAATTTGTTACAATCTGCAAAATTAATCTCTTAAGGTAACTTCGATAACGTCACGGCCAAAAATATTGATATCTGGTAAGTTGTTAAAACTATCCCATCATTTACTAAAATAATTATTGTATCCCAGAGTATTTTTTGCAATTAACTATAATAAAAAACTAATCGCTTAAAACTGTTCCAATTTCGTTTAGCTCAACATTAATTAAAAGTATTACAGTATATTAAAACTATGTATTGACCTGGGTACAATATAACTATTGGATTTTAATTCATATTGATGTCAATAACATTCTAACTTATTACAGGTGTACAGGTCATTTTGTTTTATTTATTTTACTTTTGCCCTTCATTTAGAATTTAAAATCCCCAATCGTACCGTTGAATGATCGTTTAAAAACCTTCATTTAAATATGTTCCATAAGTATCAGATTCAATAACTGTTCTTGATCATGTTTGTTAATTTATTTTTTGTAAAAGTAATGTAAATTAATCAAAAATCAATTGGTGCTGCAATAAATTAAATTTATAATGTAAATATGTAAATAAGAAATATTATTATTTATTTACCTTTTGTATAAACATTATTTAAGTATAAATGAGATGTATAGAATATGTATCTTATTTTGTAATTGTTAAATTATTGTATATTTAAAATTACATGTAATAAAATATTTGAAAATTCATATGATGTTCTGCATATAAAGTTTTCTCAACCCCTTTTTTCCAAAGAAAACCAGTGTTTTAATAGACTTTTCTATTGCATTCTATATGGGCATGATATTTGGGAAATCATCAAACAATATCCATATGCTTGACAGATGCTAAAATTATATTTATTTATACAGATGCCATTATAGGTATAGTGCACATTTTTTCTCAATCGAAATTTCAATTGATAAACACGGTAAAAAATGTATGTTTCCAAACTAATAAAACTATCAACGGACGTTGTAAGTAAATTTTTATGGTGTTATAAAACATCGTATTCACCACTGTCATATTTGGAAATTAATTATTTTTTGCATACAATACAATAGACGTTTTAAAAGTACACATAGGTAGCACATTCTCAATATTGTAAGTTAGTAAATTTTGTGTATTTTGTAAAGCGAAAAAAAATTTGTTCTAATCAACAAATCTATTGAATGAATTCTCGAAATTCGGTACTATCATTATTAAAAATTTTATTTTTTGATGAACTTAGTTTTCTGCAATGTTTCATGAAATTGGATCCTACGTACAATTTTAAAATGTAAATTACATTAACATAATGGTGGAGTAATCAATTTAGGCAGTCCTACACGTTGGCCAAACTTAAAGTACAAATTGTTATATTATAATGATTATTATTTATGTTTGCTACTACAAGAAACAGTCGAAATGTGTGAGATATTATTGCATTTTAAAAACATAATTGATTAGATTACCCAAAGTGATTTATAATGTTAATAATAGTTAGTCAGTAAAAATAATACTTAGGCAATTAATAATTCTTTTCCTGCCAAGAGAACATAATACAACAGCGGATGATCACTACAGAAAATATTTTTTTGGATTTCTTCAAAAAATTGGCTCTGTTTACAGCTTTAAAAAGTTGTCTTTTATAATTTGCTCCTTTATTTTAAAAATGACAAAACTTTTACCTCGACATCAGTAATCTTTGTTGGTAAATTGCTACTTCTTGAATTATTACCAAAGCAATATGTACCATAAAAAAATAATCGACACCAATGCAATTAAACATGATCGGACACGAAACGGTAACGTTAACATATTTCATATTTTGCTCATGTGTGAGAATTCTACGTACAATTCTCAAAATGAATATTACCAAGCAGTTAGTAAATAATGTTGTAAGAACATGACAAATGTCAAAATTATATGTACCGGTATAGACATGTGCCGGTATAGTGTTTTGGCAGAACGTTGAATAAAATATAGTTTTATGTCAAATATAATAATACGTACACCATTTGATAAACCAAAACTGTATACTTTTAGTGGACGAACGGGATACATTCATTTGGCAAATAATTTTACATTGCTTGGACACCAAGTGTATGTCCACAAAAAACGTGAATCAGTAACAAAATCCCTACCAGATTGAAAAATCCTAAATAAATGTAAAACAAATTCGTTAATTAATATTTCAACCCATGAGCATTACAGTTACTCTCGTCACCTAGAGTTACCTGACCAGAAAGTAAAATTGTGAAATTTGAACATATTTTGTAGTTTTACATTTTTGAATGTTATATAACAAAATACCAAACACAAAATAGGTAAAATATTACATACTGTACTAATTACATGTAGTTGACGTTAGTACCACAGCATATACGTAACCAAGTTTCATAACAATTTCTCAACTAATTACTACCACTTGTTTGTTAACGACAACAGCAGAGTTGTTGACGTTAACAATGAGTTTAGTTGCGCACACCATTATTCATTCAAAAACTACAACCCATACAAATTTAATTGTTCGAATTTCTTTCTGGCAAACGTTATTAAATATCATGTTGAACGAATTTATTTTTTAATAATAAATTAAAATATTCTTGCAATTAATATGAGAAAGATATCTTTAAATTTGATTAACAGTTCATAAAATATGAGATATTTTGAGACATCTACGTTTTCTCAATATCCAGCGAAAATAAAAAATACCTTTCAAAAGTTTTGAAAGAGTTAATCATTGCTAAGATATTGACATTTTTATTACAAAACCATTAAGCAACTTACTACGGTAATAAATTGGTACATATTACCCTAGTTATACTTATAAATGTTAAATGTTTTTTTCATGACACGGCTCAACATTTTTAACCGCATTGTATAGCATTAATGTATTCAGTATTTGAATTTATGTACATTTATAAGAAGTCACACTATAATTGGTCATTGAAATTTAAGGCGTCATTCCTAGAATAAAAATTAAGTGGAAAATTTTGTTGGCAGGTTCAACATGTCACCAAGCGAGTGTATAATCAAAAATATTTAAATATACCAAATATCTCATTAATCCTCCTTGGGTGTAAGAACTATGATTGGCAGTCAGTTACTGCACTTATTCACGGCCAAAAACATCTATAAATTTAAACTTTTATACGATCATGAAACACATTTACAGACCTTGAACTCTTATCGGAGGTTACAAATTAAATTACTTGGTCGGTGCATACAGTTTAAATGAAATAGAAGGATCAATAATTTTTTTACATGAAACCAAATCCACAAAAAATATACTAATATACTAAATATAATATGGGATGGGATTGGGCAAAGAATGAAGTTCATTGCCGTATCAGTTGGTTGCCTAATCTTATATTCTATTATATTTTGTTCATTTTCATTACAGTCTTGTAAATTAGAAAAAAGGAAACTCGTCGAGAAAAAAAACATATTCTTTGTGTTTTGTAATTCGCATGGTGGGATTTGCGAATCGGCAATACTTCGTTCTTTCCTCTATCCAATATAAATAGTTTTACGTCGATTTAGAGGTACCTAGAAATAAACATATACAATTTTCGTTTTAACTTGGTAACGCCATGTCTACAGTGTAACAAAACAGTGCTCCGTACAGTGTAACTAATCTCCTACTCCATGAGTGATCTAACGGAAGTGATATATTATACCGTTATACATCGTTTTAATTAATCGCTACATGAAACTTTGTGAACAACAAGGCCTTTTTGTTATAAGATTCAACCCGACTTATTATATACCAAAATGTTCGTCTAGGTGTGTAGATTAATATTTTAGTTGCAATTGAAACGTGTGCTACAAACATTTACTGACTTGGTTTAAATGAAATATTTACTTTTTGAATTTGGATTGGCGTAAATATTACAATGGAAAAAACGAGAAAGCCGGAAAAATTTTATATACTAAAAAGAAAACTGAATTTACACTGAGCAGTATTTCTGATCAATCATTGAAAGAACCGATTTGCAAACTATGGAAACAGAGGAAAGTCATAGAACACCAGAATAATGTTTTTTTTTATTCATAATCGTTATTATGGACAACCTAATGCGGCTATGAGTGGGACACATTTGTAGAAAAAACAAAAAACAAAATCAGCTTTTGAAAAATGATAAGATATCTACAAGTAATGTTGGTATATCCAACTGTTATGTACATCGTGAATATTCCCATAACCTTTGAGTCTACTCTTAAAGTCATTCAAAATTATGACTGTTATTCGTTTTAAAATAACACCTGTAACGAATTCGAGCAACAGGCACACTAGTTTTCAGTTAAAGTTAGATTTAATTTAATCTCTACCGTACTGTTTGGACGACTGCTTATGTTACTGGCAAAGTATGAATTCTTTGCCTGAAGCTTTTAGGCAAAGTATGAAGTAGAGTAGGGTTTTATA